AAAGTTGGGCTTGGGACCCAATTATGGGTCATGAAGCACCTTGGATAATCTCCAGAAACCAATTTAAAGGGTAATAAAATAATTGCTGCTGTAATTTTTTCCCTATAATTATTACAAAAACACAAAATAAGTATAGATAAGTATTTATATTTGTGTATAAGCTGTTTAGATTGTCAAAAAGCCTGTGTTTTTAGGGTTATTAACGAAGTTCGTGTACTCAGACCAGTAATATTTGGGGTCACAAGTTTTTGCCATGGATATTTTGTGGGTCAGAAGACAAAAAGTTTGGGAACCACTGCTCTAATCTATCATGTGCCAGTAGGTAATGAGGAAGAGTTACTCTAATCTCGTTTAATCTGGATGAGGGGAGTGGCACAGTTATATGTTATCTTGTTGATGACAGCCTGACTTAAACATTCCAACAGCAAGTTCTCTATAAACACCATCAAAAAGCAGGAATTGTTTTGTACATACTGATCATGCAAAAGCAACAACACTTAGGTGCAACTTGGCAGAACGTAAATAGTAGGAATTAGAAGCGCTTGGGTCCTATTAGAAAAACTAAATATTTTCTAAGGTAAAGTACATTACTGGTGATTTTGGAACTAGTGTCTGACGCGATGATAGGCTCAGTCAGTGGAAGGCTAAAACAGATCAAATAGCCCACAGGTAATGCTACACAGCTAATACAAATAGAAAGCGAGCGATCTAATGTTAAACGGGGGTTCTTGTTTTATTTATAACCCCGGAATATTAAAACTGGTTTATGAGTGACCATGGCAAGTAACAGTTTTAACGCAATCTAGTCGTATTATCCACTCGAGGCCTGTGGCCGAGCACTTCGATGATAGCAGTGTAGCATCGGTGCTAATTCAAGTACTTTGTAGATTTGTGTTCAGAAATGAGCTGAAACACGTCAACAAACTACTTCAGGACGGATACGTGACTTTGTGTACGTGTCTCGAATGTGTACTTATATTTACCTTAGAGCTGACTTCTTTTGTGAGCTGGTTATCCCGTCGACTGACTTTTAGCTGCTGTGTTTTCTTTACAACTTAAGGCGGAAGTTTTTTAGGACTGGCCCGGGCGACATCTTCCGGACCGTTGCTACGTGAACACACGTCATCCAATCACAGAGTGGGCGGGCTTAAGTGACAAGACGTCAGTAAAATAAGAAAACAATAGCTGTTCTGAGTTGCAATATTTGGTTATAAAAGATAATTGTTAGTATTTACAACCCCCTGGCAAAAAGTATGGAATCACCAGTCTTGGATGAGCACTCATTCAGACATTTCATTCTGTAAAACAAACTCAGATCAAAAACATGA